GCCAAAATAACAGATGGAGAATAAAGTGGGAAGTTAACAATGTACTAACCAACATACCAACTCAAACGATGAATACCATGATGACAACGTTAGGATGTGTCAATATCCCTTTATGGATGGAATTGTGGAAACTCTATTACGACCAACTAGAAGGTCCTTACTTTGGACTTGTATGATAGAAGCACAACATATATATGCATATGTCACGCAAGTCAACATTTATATACTCAATGACACCATATTTTCCCAACTCTTCCCCACTTCACTCAAGGTGACAATTTTAAGATCGTTCACTAGGCTTCCTCATTTTTTCCATCCATTGCTTTAACATCTTAGTAACCTATTTTGACACACAATTTGTTATAAGATGACACCAAAACCTCTATAGTCCTAGTCAACATTAGGTAAGGAAAATGGAGAATCCTTACATACTTTTGTGAAAATATTTGAAAATATAGCCTTTATATTTGCAACATGAACCATGAGGTAGCTTTAGATTATACGATAACAACGCCAAAATCGAAAACCTTTAAAAGTAGTTCATAAAATAAATATGCGAGTAAATAAAAAAACAAATAAATTTACACAAATTAAGAGTTTAAAAAACTTTAAGAATAAAGTAGGACTAAAACCAACTTGATGAAAAAAATTACATAACTAAGTATTTAATCTAATATATATATATATATATATATATATATATATATATTATTTATATAAATATTTTTTTTAATATCAAGTTATTTGATACTTTGAAATTTCCTTAACCACAAAAGCAAACTCAAGACAATTTTAAAATAACTTAAATTATTATTTAATTAATTAAATCAATTTTTTACAAACAACTCAATTTATATATTAATTTTTATCTATATACAATTATTTTATTTTTTACACATTTTATTTATAATTTTATTATAAGTAATAGTAATTTTAAACTATAATGATTACATTTTCATTTTTAATTGACCTTTAATTTAAATTTAATTATTTTTTAAATTAAAAAGATTATTTTACTATTTTATTATTTTACGTTATTATTTTTTTTAAGTCAAATTAATTATTTTATTATTTTATTCTTTTAAATTATTATTTATTTAAGTTCAGTCTCTTTTTAAAACTTGAATTAATTGTTACATTAAGAAAATAAATTATAAAAAGTTAATAAAGTTTAGGGTCAGTAGCATGAAAGCGTTTGTAGTCCAACGGTTAGGATAATTGCCTTCCAAGCAATAGACCCGGGTTCGACTCCCGGCAAACGCAGTGATTGTTCGTCTTTTTTTCACGCTATCTTTTTCTTTTTTCTACATAGAAAAGACAAAGAACAAAAGAGGACGAACGAGATTCATAGATTTGGGGACGAAACCAAATCCAATTAGTGACGCAATCTCATGAATTCGGATCTCTGTCTCTATATTTATGTGGTTGGGCTCTCTCTGTTCTGTTTCATTTCCTATTTTCTATTTTAAACCTTAACGAAGTGAACGGTGATGGGAGGCGCGTGTAGCAGCAACGCCTTCAGCGCGGTGCAATTAACTATATCGTCCACCCGCAGCAGCAGATTCAGAAGCAACCGTACCGTTTCTTTGTTCTCCGTTCGAGCCTGCGACGACCCTCCTCGTGGGCCATCCTGCATATACGTTGGCCCCCTCCACACCGCCACCAAAGAAACCCTCGAAGCTCTTTACTCTCAGGTCACGCGTCTTTTCAATTCATCATTTTTCAGTCTCAATTTCACTTATCCATTAATATAATCACCACAGAAGAATCATTAACTATGCAACTATTCAAGGGCTAATGCAACGAACTTGGATTGTTTATAGGCGCGGGATGCGTATTACAGTGGAGAGCCTTTGATACTCGATGACATGTTTGATAGAGTAGAGGTGTCTGTCTATCTGTCTTTCTTCAATTCACCACTCAACATTGCGTTACGCACTTAAGTCTCTTAATTATATATTAACTCGTCTTATGGAAACAGTTGAAGCTTAAGTGGTATGGTTCTAAGTCAGTTGTCAAGTACCCTCGGTGCAGTATCCGGAGGCATTCCACATATGCTGATTCTGATGTAACTTTCTTCTTCAATTTCCTTATTTCAATTATCATCAAGTTTTGGTTTTCAATGTGTTCTTAATTGAAGTTAAGAATGTATTGAACAGTTACGTTTGTGTGTGGTGTGATGTATTTGTGTTGAATGTTTTGGATATAAGGACAATTTTTGTGTGGTTAAAATGTTGAGGTTCCCCTGCCTTCCTTTTTTGTTCTCTTGGTTTCTCCACTTGAATTATATTGAGTGACTGTGGATGTAGGGCAGGAAGATATTTCTATGGCTTTTGCATTAGCAAGTTTATGGTCCCTGTTTCTTGCACTTGGCTGTTCAGCTTGTGTTTGGCCTATATTGTACACTGTTAGCACAGCTTATCAAAAAGCATTCGACTCGGGAGGATTGTCGTATGGTAGTCAAGCATCAGGAGTAGGACTTCTTTTTGTGTTCAACGGCATTATCCTCACAACACTCGGTTTGGTCATTGGCTACCCAGTTGCTTCAGCTTCAGGTAAAAATCATTTCCGAAATTGAACTCAAACACTAGTTCAAATTAAATGACAAACCCTTTAATTTAGTTAAATACAACAGTTAGTGGTGCCTTGTGTACTTTTAACATTTTCCCTAATTAGAATTAGACTTATATTTCAAAAACTTTGCTGATATTTAATGTAAACATTTATTACGTGAATTGCTACGATTAAACTCTAATTCTAATTAAAAAAATGTTATACACCTTAGGAAGGGAACTGAGTGTAAATTTTACCGTTTTGCTAACTATTATTTCAACATGGCTGTTTCTGTATTTATATGTAACTAATTGCTTATTTCCACAGTTAAGGTGCTTCAAGGCCTGTGGAGGGGTGATTTAGCGGCACTGAAGGGTTCATGTCCAAATTGTGGAGAAGAGGTCAGTCACTGAGTTATATACGTAGACTCCCACAGTGACTGTGATATAGGTGTCTTGTTTCTTGCTTGACTGAGTGGTCCTCTTTGTCCAGCTAGAGAAGCACTGTTTAATATTTATACTTCACTTAAATCATTCTCACGGTATTGAATTCATTTTCTTTAAGGTATTTGCATTTGTGAGAACGGACAAGGGTAATTACTCACCTCATAGAGCAGATTGTCATGTGTGTGAATGCTTATTGGAATTTCGCACCAAATTTGAGGTAATAAAATAGATTCTTTTTACTTCTTGCATAAGACTGTAAAATTAGACCGCGATTCAATTCTCCTTTTTATGAGTAGAGAAAATAAAAACGTGACAATGTAAACAAGAGTTGCAGGTGTTTTGCTCTTTGCATGACCAATGGTGTTGTTATTTTGCAGCAATCGGATTTAAGATTAGGTAGACAGTGGGTTTATGGGCGTATTTACCTCGTTCGAAGATCCCGGCGCCAGAGAGAGCCGTAAATTTTCTTCCCATCAGGGGCTTATATGATTGTGAATATCAATTAGCTATTCAGGAATGGATAAAACCACACTCTGTTCAGTTCTTAGTCCAGAACATTTTTGTTAGAACTCAGAAGCCATCTTGTAAAACTCTCATGAAGGAAACATTTGACATGTCAATGGGTGGACACCTAATTTCTTCGATTTGAGGGCGTGTTAATGTTAAAGATTTTTCTTTTCAAGCTGTTATAGATATTAAATGTAACTTTAGTTTTATTTATTGTTCTTACCAATGGAGACTATCTAGACAAGCTGTTGCGAAGGTGAAGATCCTTTACGCAGAGCTATGAGATTAGTTCTTCTGAGGGGATTGTTTTAACAACGAAAGAAGGTTTATCTTGAAAACATTTTTCAATGTTCAAGTCAATCAGAAAATTATAGAATAAAAATGTAATTTGAACTATGAGTGAGTAGGAGTTGAAGGTGAACCTCACTCTATAGGCTCCTTAGAAGAACCATTCTGAATGATAACATAATTGTTTTTAATGACTATCATTTCAATTATGTATAACTAATGTAACGTTAAAGATAATTGAGCATATATATTTGACAAAATTTCACACTGATTTGGTTTATAAATAATTATCCAAATGTTTCACAAAAGGGTAATGCAATTAAAAATATATACTAGCAGCTTTAATTATAGATGGAAAGATGTTAAATTTAAAAAACAAAAAAACTTAAACATTAGTAAAATACCAAATAATTTATTATAGTTTAACATAATTTGTTTTGAAGTTGACTGTTTTCAAATTTATTTGAAATTATAAATGTACTTTATATTTTTCTATATTAATTAGTTCGTTTATATTAGATATATTAATTTATAATCCAAAGGATTATTTAACCCATAAAAAAAGTGTTACAGTAGAATATTAATGAGAATAAGTTATAATTAAACAAAAAATAATTATATTTTTTACAGTTTTAAGCATTAGTTTTTTTGTCATTTATGACAAGATATGGCAATACGGAAATACATTAGTTAACGCGCCTGTTAGTGCCTTTATTTCCTCTAATATTGGAAAATCAATATATATTGATGCATAGACCATGAAAACTGAGTGTATGTAGTAGAAAAGGTTGGTCATGTATATTATTATTATTATTATAAAAATCACTTATTTTTGCTTCACATGCTTTCAAAACTTTTGTTTAACTATTTTGGATCAAAATACTATTAACTATGCTCAACTTTCGTAATTAATAAATAATAAACACTATAATTAAATTAGAAAAAAATTCTCAAGAGATTTTAATAGAGAAAGCGGACAATAAAATATTTAATCTGATAAGAAGAGTGAGAAAATATACCTCAATTATTTCGAAATGATTATACGAAAATATAATTTTTTAACAAAATTAACATTATTATTTTAATTAATTAATTGATTACTTTTATTAAATTAGAAGGGAGTGAAGAAAGTCAAAGCATCTTTTGGTTCCTTTAATAATAGCCGTTAAACATAAGCTATGTTTCACTTCCCTCCCTGCCATCCGCACGCGCCATAAAAGTAGCGTCAGAGTCACAGTTTTCTACGTTCATTTGTTGATCCACAGTTTCTTCGGAGTCTCTAAACTCCAAAAAACAAACACAAATCCAAACACCAAACACAACCGTCACTTACGCAATCGAAACCAAATTTTCCTGTTCCTTTCTCGATGTTTCAATTTATCCCTCAAATCACTCTTCCATTTTCTCTTTCTTCCTCCCACTTTGTTTCTTGATTCCAACTATTCTTATTTTCTTCCGTTTTCATTTCGAACAACAAAATTTGACAATTCGAATAGCCATCGTGGACTTCTTTCCCTTCTTTCTGATCTTTTAAATTAGGTTTTCAAACGAGATGGGTAGCCATGAGAAGAATGAAAACAAGGGCTTTTTCGCCGCCATGACTTCTGGCTTCTCCATCTTCAGCAATGCTATGCACCGATCTGTAAACGGGTATTTTTTTCTCAAACAAAGAATTTTTTTTTTGGATCGTCCTATTCCTATATTATTCATATCTATATAATCGTATTCGTATGTGTTGTGTCATCGTAATCTATACTTGTGTGTGTGTTCTTATGTTGTAGTGTAAAGTGTCATTGACAATACCAAATGATTATTTGATATTTGTTGGATTCTAGACTTAGATTTGCCTGTTTTCTTTAAGTTGCATCGATACTGTGAGGCAAGCAGGCAACTTGATATTATAGTGTTATCATCATTCAAATTAAGTTGTTCCCTCTTTTTAAGCCTTTTTGTTCCTATATATATTCTTTTACTACATTGAGCCACTATTTTTTAAAAAGACTCAATTGAGCTTTTATTTTTTGTAAAAAAACTCAAATTGACACCTTTTGAAGTGTCACGTGTCATGTCAATATAAGTGTTTGACACATGTAAGAATTTGTGTCTCAGACATCTTCCACTTGATACTTTAAATGTGTCATATCTCAAAACGAGAGACATTACAAGGGAAAATATTCAGATTTTTTACATATAACAAACCTATATTTTGATACAGGACGGTGTAACGCCAATTTAAATGGAATGGACCACAATGAATCTTTTTTAAAAAAGAAGGTTCAAAATCAAAATATAAGGACCGAAATGAATAAAAAATCTAAATATAGAGACCTACTAATTAAACCTTTGTTCGTAGTTCCTAGCTCTCATATATCGACGAGGTACTGGAAAGACTTATAGAGTATAGCAGTGTTCCATCAAGGATCTGTAGTGCACGGTAATCTGTTTATCTAATTGGAATCTCTCTTTCACTGACATTATCTAGAAATGATGAAAGCTCGTGGAAATTTTACCCCAAATGTTTAGTCTTTGGACTTCATATAATAAGAACACGGTCATCCATATTAGTTTCATATTTTACATTTTTTACGGTGGAACTTGTCAGCTTCATCTCTAAGAAATGTAGATATTCTGGGGAATGCAAGCTTACTCATGTTCTCCTTTGTTTATAGGTTGCTGGGGTATGAAGGGGTAGAAGTCATAAATCCGGAGGGTGGTAAAGAGGATGCAGAGGAGGAAGCCCAGAGAGGAAGATGGAAACCTGAGGTGCTTATTTTGCTTGTTTATTTCAGAAATGTTATTTTTTGGTTCAAACCTTTTCTGGCATTAGTTGTTTTGTACTTTGTGCTTAGACATTGAAAATGCTCTTGGTTATCGTTCCTTTGTCTCCTTTAAATTATCTGGTCGTGTTGCCTTTTAGTTTTATTATTGTTGATCATACGGATGCCATCCATTTTTTTGGTTTTACTTATTTCCTATTTCTCTTTTGAGTACATATCTAATGTGTGATATGCCGTGATATTATTGCATTTTCCCTATGTTTGAATTTTGTATTCAGGAAAGAGACGGTTACTGGAAGATGATGCACAAATATATTGGCTCAGATGTAACATCAATGGTAACGCTACCTGTTATTATTTTTGAACCAATGACTATGCTTCAGAAAATGGCAGAGGTTTGCATACCATCACTTCTTTTGGCTTTGTTAAATTGCTCTATTTGTTTGTATTAGCACTTGATTGAACTTTGAATTGTTTGAACTAGTTGATGGAGTACTCCTACTTGTTAGATCAGGCAGATAAATGTGAGGACCCATACATGAGGATGGTGTATGCATGTGAGTTATTTGTATCCCTCTATTCTCTGCTATTTTTTAATTGTTTTGATCAATTGAATTGTAATCTTAAAGGTAATGGAGGGTTTAGTTAAAATTAAGAATGAATAACATTTTATCTAGTTTCGACAAGTGGTCAATGCTGTACCTGAATATTTTATTTATAGTAAAGGATTATGTGATTTAATTGACCCAAACAATTGCCCGCCAGAGCCTGTTGTGTTAGTTCTTGTTCTTCGAACTACGTTGGAGTGTCTGTGAGCCTGGTGCATGTACTTCCTGATTATTTCATTACTTTTATGACTCATCGAATCATTGCAGCGTCATGGGCTATATCTGTGTATTTTGCATACCAACGGACCTGGAAGCCTTTTAACCCTATCCTTGGAGAGACTTACGAGATGGCTAACCATGGTGGAGTTTCATTTCTTGCAGAACAGGTACCTTTTAAGTATGTGATTCATAAGAACTCTGTCTCCCCGCACCTTTAATATAATGTTTCCTTGGAAATTTATACCAGCATTTGCAAGAACTGTTAAGTTCTTCTCACTACTTTCTTTTGCATTGTTAGGTGAATACATCTATAAAAATTTTATTTCCTCGTCTCTGTTATCTTCTCCCTTATATTGGATATCTTGTTTGCTGTATTTTTAATTTCAGGTGAGTCACCATCCCCCAATGAGTGCTGGTCACGCTGAGAATGAACATTTTACATATGATGTGTCTTCAAAGTTAAAGACTAAGTTTTTGGGAAATTCTGTTGATGTTTACCCCGTTGGAAGGTGATCAATACATTGCACTTGTTTAGTAGGTCACATTGTTATATTCTTATTGTCACTCATAGTCTATATAATTCCAACTTCCTATTGCTCCATTCATATGCCACACTCTACTTTCCAGAGTTATTTATTGTAGGTTGAAAAGATAGGGTTATGAGTATTTCCTAGCTGGGTGACAGACGTACAACAGTATTCTGGGTTCATTTAATTTGTTATGCTTTTTCAAATCTAATTTCAATTCTCTTGAAGAATCTGAAAAGAAGTTTTTTTTTTTAACGAAGAATCTTCCTAATCTATTGCTATTAGAGGCAGTATGTATATAATAATTATACAACAAATTTTGTCTTTGCTTTACTTTTCTAGTTCCCTGCAGAATTGTCATTTTATATCATTTGGTAGCAAGGAAATAATAAATATAGATTTTGCAATTATTATTTGCAGAACACGTGTAACCCTCAAAAAGGATGGTGTAGTTATCGATTTGGTTCCCCCTCCAACCAAGGTTAATAATTTGATATTTGGACGAACATGGATTGATTCACCTGGCGAGATGATAATGACGAACTTGACAACAGGGGACAAAGTTGTACTCTACTTTCAACCATGTGGATGGTTTGGGTATGTGATATTTGTTAAAGTTGTGTTTTCATTTTAAGGAGAATTGAATGACTTAAATCCCTTCCATTTTCTGTGTTCTATTTCTATTATCATTCCCCATCCAGATATTGATTCTTTAAATAGATTTTTGTTTCTTGATATCTTGCAGGGCTGGTCGCTATGAAGTAGATGGATATGTGTATAACTCTGCCGAGGAGCCTAAAATACTGATGACTGGAAAGTGGAATGAGTCAATGAGTTATCAACCTTGTGATTTGGAAGGAGAGCCTCTTCCAGACACAGAATTGAAAGAGGTGTTTATTTCTTTTTTGTTTGAAAAAAAGATACAAAATGATCATGACCAGTTATATGCTAATGAGCAGTAGCTTTGCTTTTTACGATGTGATGATATAACTGGTAAAGGCATAGTTATTTATAATTTTTATTAATAGTTTATCTTGAAACTTATTCTGCAGGTTTGGCATGTTGCTGATGTACCAGCAAATGATAAATTCGACTATACATACTTTGCGCATAAATTAAACAGCTTTGACACTGCTCCTAGAAAATTGTTGCCATCAGACTCCCGTTTACGTCCAGATAGATTTGCACTTGAAATGGGTGATCTATCCAAATCAGGGGCAGAAAAGAGCAGGTTTTTAAGCTTTACTTTCATTCATCATATGCTTGAAAATATGTACTTAGTATGCATTCTAAAAAAAGCAATACAAGTATAAAATTAACAATTTTGCATGGTTAGTATGATATAAATTATTAAGTTCAACAATTTGGATCAACCGGACGAAACTATTTACTTTTTAGGAATAGCAAAGAAATCTGCTTCTTTCTGAAAAGTGGGGATACTTTGAAATTAGAAATATTTTTCTTACTGCCAATTTTGTCTATTGAGTTCTCCATGGACATAACTTCACTCTAAGATGTTATGTTGTTTTCTCTTACAGTTTGGAGGAGAGGCAACGCGCTGAAAAGAAAATCCGAGAAGCCAAAGAGCATAAATTTGCACCAAGATGGTTTGATTTGACTGAAGAGGTGACTTCAACTCCATGGGGTGATTTGGAGATCTACCAATACAATGGTAAATACACTGAGCATCGTACTGCTATTGATAACTCAGACAGCATTGATCATGTTGATAATAAAGATATTGAATTTAATCCGTGGCAGTATGGTGATTTGTCCAAAGAATGAGTAGATTCTGTGTTTTTGGTTTTTTGGATGCCACGGTTAGATCATGTAACTTTTTTTTTATTGATTTATAAGTGAAAGAATTTTGTTTATAGCTGTAGTACATTATTCTGCCTAATCAATTTTTTTTCTTCATCTTGAATTTTTTGTAATTGATTAAAACACTGCAATCTCTTATTAGAATTCATTATGAGACTGATTTAAAATTGAATCATTATAGTCAAAATAAATAATAATAATTTGTGTTTGTCCCATTTTTTTCTCTTTTTCGAAGAAGATTCATGTGCGTTCGAAAGATTTTTTTTTTTCATTTCCATTTTTCAGACCACTCAAACTACTCTTCGTCAATATTATTCACAAAAGAACAGTCTTATTCAACAAGTTTCAGCATGTTAACTAATAAAATTTTTGTCTAAGTAAAAAGTAAAATGATCAATATATTCCAATATATTAAAAAATAGATTTTAAGTTTAATTAATTTTATAAAATTAATTTATAAAATAAGATTTATATTCATCCATATATCATAAATTGGTTAAGTAATAGTAACAGCAAAAATCGATAACGGTAACCACAATGGTAACAACAATGATAACAATAACGGTAATAATGGCAACGATAACGGTACCAGTAATAACAACGGTAATGAAAATGGTAATTGTAATATAAATGAAACAACTGTTTAATAGAACACTTTACAACAATTTTTGTAACAAATTAATTTTACTATTTTCGAAAATAGATTCATTGTTAATTATTTTATTATTATTATTTAATTGATTATTTTTATTTTTATTTAAAATTGCTTAAATATATTTTTAAATAATTTGTTGTTGTTCTGAGCATTAGTTAAAGTATATTCTTTTTTAAAAGCATAAAGAATTTTTTTTGGATTATTCACAGTAAATTTAATTAAAATACAGTTTCAATTATATTCTGTGCTTAATTATGAATATTATTTTTACCTCCTTATTAAGTCAAAGTAAATTCTTATTGGATTATTGTTAAAAATTTACTACTAATCAAAGTTTTATAATTTTGTAGGAAAAACTCATTCAATAATATATTCTTAATTGTTAAAGTTTTTACTACTAATGGTCATGGTTGATGCGTTCTAAGATGCAAAGATCTTTGGTGGTGGCAATGTTGAGGTGTAGTGAAGGCTAATGGTGGCTCACGGTGACTACAATGGAATTCGATGTTGGCATTGTTTCTAGTTGAAATCCGGTGGCTGACAGTGGTTGTGGTGTGGGAGAGATAGGATTTTAGCAAATAAATAACAGAAATATTGTTATTTAATATTTTAATAACACAAAAAATATTACTCATTGAAAATTCGACGTGAGAAAAGAATTTCTGATACTGTATATTATATATATTTATAATTTGTGGGTGCATCGCATTCTCCACTTAGTAGTGTGCATGATGAAGACGTAAGGAAGTGACAAGACACAAAAATAATTCCCCCAAATTAGATACAAATGAAATTGAAATGCAAAGTAAGTGTAATTAATTAATGATTATAAGGTAGAGAGGGAGTAGCAGTAGTGAGAGATGAAATGTGAGGAGCCAGCGTCTTTCACGATGGTTCAGACCAGAAGCGACCACATGATCGAAAGGGTGCCACGTGTCGGAATCTGATTGTGCATTGGCCCATCCAATTGCGTGGAACCGGTCTTTGGGTGCCTTATCATCGACCTACTATATCCTGTGCCCTTCCTTGCAATCACCGAGAGCTCCGGTCACACTGACGTACGGTCAATGCTATAAACTCTTGGGGTTTAAGCCATTGCTTTGGTGGTTTTCACAGGGTTTTACTTTTAGCCATTCACAACACATTATCATAATCTCTATCAGATTCACATTTCACATTTCAGATTCACAATGAGAGAAAAACACAAATTTCTAAATCCTCACCCTCTTCGACCAACGTTTCCTGCCTAATTCAGGCTCTTTTTTTTTTCCTGGTTGGAATCGTTTTTACTCTGAATTATCTCTCACCCATCTTGAAATTGAAAAAATTTGCCGAAATTCACATTCTCAGGGAGTTAAAGATTTCGTCTTTGAACCACAATCTTTGCCAAGAGGTGATGATCATGTTGAACTTTGATGGGATTTTGTTACTCGAAAATATGCCGAGTTCTTTTTTTTTTACTTCTTAAATATCGGGCTTATCCTTGGGGTTTGACTTGTGGTTCTGTTGGTTCCGGAAGAAAAAAGTTGGAATATTGACCTATGATTTTATATACGGGAACTGTTTCATGGTTTTGGGAGATGAATTTTCAGTTTCTGAGACCAGAGTTTCCTCTTTTACTTCTATTAATGATTTCGAGCTTGTGATGATTTGATCTGTGTTTCCGGCATCACGTGATGGGTTTTGGTTGTAAATTGGTTGTTTTCGGACTTCAATCTTCTTCCATGATTTTAGATCTCTATTGGTCTGAATTTAGTTTAGTTTTCTTCTGGTGAACATGACTGGAATCTAGCCTCGTCTTTGTATCCTTTTCTTGTTTTCTGGGTTTAACCTTTATCTCTCAATTTTTCTTTACCTACCTTTACTTTTTAATTCACATTTGGACTTTTGAGGAAACTGTTGTTGTATAGGAGTATTTTTGGCAAATTGTATCTTACACCCTGCTTCCTTATTGTGTCTTCATCTAAGTCTATTTTCAATTTTTACTTATCTGTGCATAGGTTTTAGCTTTTAGTTTTAGGCACCGATTTTCCCATTTGGTAAAATGATTACGTACAATTATTCATATACATATATGTAATCAATGACCTTTATCCTCAAGGTACTTTGATCAAATGGAAGTGACTGATTTCGCTTCCCTAAGGTACCAGTTGGGATTGAGACCGGAAGTAAGCGTCCAATTTGGTTTCATGCATCTGAACTAGAGAACATGTGGTTGGAGTTTGTTCGATAACAATATTTAAATTGTGAAAGTTTGATTCTGCAAATGAAAAAAAAAAAAAAACACTTTTGAAATATTGATGTGTGTGAGAGTTTTTAATTTAAAAATTATTACCGTGATGTTTTCTTTCAGTGCAGCAGCTTCTGAACTTAGTCCCTATTTTAAACATAAGACACTGGAAAGACCAGCTTAGTTGGACATTTATTTGAGCTAAACTCGTTCTCCATCTGGTTTAAGCTAATGCCCTTACTAGATAATTTAACGCCCTTGCATGTAGGGGAAGATAAGATCAGTTTCTGTGTCAGACAATATGTTTTGGTATTCACCACATTAGTAGCATAAACCTTTGTTTTTTCTAGTTCACTATAATGCATCTGGGCCATCACTAATGAGTATTTATTGTCAGGCTTTATATTGAGACCGGTGGGATCAAGCAGCGTGTAGAGTTCAAGTTTATTTACGAGTATTGGACGGCTGATGTTTCGTGTTTGATCAATCCTTATATTGGCATGGTTCCTCTGAGATATGGTGTTGCAGAAAAGGTCATATTATAGCTTTAATGGACATCAGGTGCCAACCAAGCGCCGAGCTACTAGATCAGCTAGGGTAAACAATGAGTTCTATTTCTCATTTGGAGCTAATTACTATTTTTTATTTAGTTTCAGAGTATGAAACCAGTCCATGTTTTATTTTAATGTTTATCAGAGAAACGCTACATTTCAAAGAAGGTTGGAAGAGAAACAAATGTGTGCATTTGACTTATTGGCCACCGTAGCTGACAATTTATTGCAAGGGAAACAGAATCCTACCACATGTAGTGATAGTTCACTGGAAAAAGATAGGGATGGATTTGTAGAAGAGGAGTGCCAAGATGCAAATAAACCATTAAAAACTGAGCTTTCTGATGAAGCAAGTCGTGACAGAAGATGTCAGCATGACTTTGTTAAAGAAGGATGCACATATGCAAATAAACCATTAAAAGCTGAGCTTTCAGACGAAGGAAGTAGTGATAGAAAATGTTTCTCTAATATTTCTTCCCAAGTGTACAATCAAAATTGTTGTTTGAAGGAATTCGCAGTTCATGAAATTGAAGGTCATTCATGCATTGCTTCTATAGTAACAAGTTCTAGTTGCTCAGAGAAGTTTGTTGCTGAAACACTGGTGGATGGAAAAGGCCAAAACGGAACTGAAAATTTAGCTAGCAAAGTTGAATTAGGTTCTTCTCGAAGCCCAGAGAGTATTGGTTTCAAGTTAGATGGTGATGTAAGTAAAGTAAAAGATGTTAAATTTGGGAAGGTTCCCATGGATACTGGGACTGGGTTGTGCTGTTCTGAGGATCTCTTGGATGAAAAACCTCCAGCACTGGTAAGTTCTTGTTGCAATGCCAAGTTGTCTGGGTCTGACGACAGCATGCCTCATAGCTCATTGTCCAAAGGTTGTGACAATGTACTAGTAGATAGTAGAGATGATGACGAAAAATTTTCTGGGTGTGCTCACCCTAGTACCAAAATAAAGTCCTCTAGACCAATTACTTGTATAGATGATAGAAAAATAAACAAAAGATTGGCTTCAAAATATCTTAAAGTTGCTCAAGAATCCAAGCCTGATAAATTATCTAATAGTGGTGAGTTTTTTATTTTTCCTTTTTATCATACGGAATTACTAGCTTTCTTGTTTCTTCACTCATCACTCTTGCTTGTTCAGTAATCTGTTTTTCAATTGGCAACGTGTTAGTTTTGGATGGCAATTTGAAGCCAGTTTACAGCAATAGGAAGAACTACTACAAAAGCCAAAGATCTGAAATGAACATTCCTTTCAAAAAGAGGAAACTTTTTAAATGTAGCTCTGATACAAATTCTAACGGATATATTAGAAATGGTGACACTTATTTTTCACTCAAGAATGAAACGAATCAAAGTGTTTCATATTCATCTTCCGTGATGAGCAAAGGTTGTACTCTGAATGACTTCCTTCCATTAGAAATGAATTTATTTGGCCACTCGGGTAATCTTCACTAAAGAAATTCCAAAACTTTGATGCAGATCATGGAACATCATCCTTGGGGCACTCTGCATTACGGTCTAGAGATTCTCATGGTATGGGAAGATTAAGAGAGTTATTCTTAGTTTACTCTTTGATTTGACTGATGTCTTCAAAGGGGTTCTTACATGAAGATG